CTTCCTCTTAAGCCCACCTTTCTGCACCTTCACTGTGCTGCTTTACTGTCAGTAAGAGTGGCAACTGATAGACCCCCAGAAAGGGAATAACGTAACCTAGACACAAAATATTTAGAGATTAACGTGACCACAAACCATCCTGCATGACACAATCAGTGTCGGGGACATCATCTCTGGATAGCACAGCAGTCATTAATGTTCATAATGATAAAACCAAGTCATCAAAAAAAGATTAATTACATTCCATCCACTCTGTTTAAGAAGGCAAGGAAGTGTGAAATCCATTTTAGAAAGATTTCCATCAAAAATGATTAAAATTTTCAGCTATCCAGAATGATTCATTCCCTAGGGTTTCCACATAGCCAAATATGTAAATGAAAGAGCACAAATATTGCCTATTTCCCACAAAACAAAACAAATAAGCAAACCACAAAAAAGGTACAGAAAGGATTCACTCAAATTGGGAACTGGATATTCCTACAGTGCATACTTGGATGTAGACCTAAGCTGATAAGCATGCATTTTCTTTATAGCTTATATTTGTCTTCATTGGTCAGGTGTCCATTTGAATGGTTGGTGCCCCTGCCAGGAAGATTTGGATTATTTTGCTTATTTATTCTTCTGGACAATATTTCAGATGGGTAAATGTATTCTTCATAGTACTAAGCCCACAGTTGGAACGAGTGAGTCTGCTTTACCCACAGCCCCCCAAACCCCAATTTTGCTTCATATATGAAAGAGAAGTTATTTTATTACTATGAAAATGAAGCTGAATACTACTTGATTTGAATTTTAGTTATGAAAACAATGTACTCACATTTCAATCTAGTGCTTGGTATGTGGTAAATATTCAATGATTCAATGAATATTGGTTAAAAGAATTTTTTTCTGTCCATCAGGAGAAAAATGGTTAAATAAATTGTGTTACGTTATGGTGCATCTAGGTGATGAAATAATGTATACTTATCTCAAATAATGATGTGATAGATGCTGACATGAATATTTTTTCATCTCTGTATCTTTATCTCCTAGAAGAATTTGTGGCATATAATAAGCACTCAATAAATATTTACTGAAAGAATGAATGAATAAATGAAATATAAAAGTAATGAACAAGTGGTAAAACTCTGATTATTGCTATGTGATTAAAATGATATAATTTTGGCATGGGTGATATGCATGTAATTGAACCAAGAAAAATCTGGCATGTTAAACAGCATGTTACTACTGATAGTTACTCTGGTAATTGTGAGGGGACTCAGGAGACAGTCTCACTTTTTACTTAATTTATATATTATTTAAATGTTCACAACACATGTACATTACTTTTATAATTAAAATAATTTATGCTATAACTATCACAAAAGTCTTTTATTATATTAGGTAATCTGGAAGTTAGGTGTTCAATATAGAAGAAAAGTAAAAAAATGAGATGATATTTGCTGCCCCCAATGTACAACATCAAACAGAATAAATGTAGATGAAGCCAGAAACAATCTCGCAGTATTAAAAAGCCTTCACTCAGCAAGGAATAAAGAGATGTGAAAATTTAACCAAAAGAGAAACCATAAAAATATTCATGGGGTGGATGACGGATGGGGAGCAACTGTTTAATGGGTATGGGGGCTTATGGGGGGATTATGAAAATATTTGGGAACTAAATAAAGGTGGTAATTGCACAACATTATGAATGCCATTATTTGTTCACTTTAAAATGGTTGATTTTATGTTATCTGAGTTTCACTTCAGCAAAATATGTGTGTGTGTGTGCGTGTGTACGTGTGTGTGTTTAAGAGACACGGTTCTAATCACCAGGTTCAATTTTTAGAAAAATAAGTCCTGTCATCTATTCTAATGACAAGATGACAGGAACCTTCCAACTGATACTACTTCTCTGAGCAAGGTAACAAAGTGAAAATAATGAAACCCTGACACCAGGAAAGGTCAACCATTCTCAGCTAGGTAGATCACACCCTGCCATGCCAGGCAATGAGCCCCTCACCAGTAGACACTGTAGGTTCTTCATCTTTGTGCCCTGAGGACTCCAGCATAGTGCCTGACATCATATTAATATTGAATGACTGATAATTCAACAAGATGATTAATGCTGGAATGAAATGGCCCTTAGATCTAAGAATGGCTCATTCCTTTCTAGCAGGGCCTTCTACCACCAGACACCCAAGAATTAATTAGGAAGCTTGTGAAAAGGGTATATTCCTGGGAGCTACCTCCAGATATTCTGATTCAGGGGTCTCAAGTAGGGCCTGCGAATCTGTTTCACAAAAGGTTCTTGGCTGGTTTGATGCACAGGTTTAGTAACCCAGCTCCAGCCTCCATTCTGGCAGAAATGGAAACTCAGGGCTGGAGATGGCCAATGACTTTTCACACAAGGGTATGTGAAATAAATAGCCACTGGGTGCTTTTCTCTCTCTCTCTCTCTCTCTCTCTCTCTCTCTCTCTCTCTCTCTCTCTCTCTCTATATATATATATATATATATATATATATATATATATATATTCATTATAAGAAGAACTTTGTACCAAAATTGTCCAGAAAATAAAAATGTCTCGTGGTCTTATGAGCTTTCAACACATTCAGAGAGCATCTCTCAGGGGTGTTACAATAAATTCTTTTGTACTATGAGGGATTTCAACTGGTTTGCTCCTAGGGTTCCCTCCAACTCACAGCCTCTGATTCTATGATGAGAACAGGTTGAAGGCAAAAGCAGATGACATGTACATATTTAACTGCCTTGAAATATGAAGATTTCTGTAAGAATGTGAGGTATTATTATTTTATTCATTATTTGGGAGCAGTGTCTAATATCAGTTTTTAAAAGTTTCTGAACTTCATTTCTATTTTATCAAAATATTTAATAAAAGAATATTGTATACAAATGGTGAATTTGGAAAACCTTAAATTTATTTGTAAAATATTACAGGTATGATGCTTTCAGGACCTATTTTGTCTATAGTTTTGATCTTATTTTTTCTTATTTTAAAACTAATGAAGTTTCATGGTGGAAAATTTGTAAACTTCAGAAAAGTTAAAGAAGAAAACAACATAAAAGTATATATTATTTTACCACTGAGAGGTAACCTCTATTAGTATTTTGGACTATTTCTGCTTCCCACTGAAATACACACACACACAAACAAAAAATTTATGCTGGGCATTTTACTGTTATTTTATATATTCTTTGAAAACATGTTCTTAAGAGAAAACTATTACATTAACAAATGAATTAATGCCAAGCTAAAATGGACTTAGTGTCAAGTTTGATGTTGATCAGTAGAAAACTGAACTAAGGAGTCCATATTGCCATCTTCAAACTGAAGCAAGCAAAAACTACCGTTTTTGAAAAATTTAATTAGTTTCCTATCTTTGCACATTTAAATTATTTCCACTTTTCTGTTATAAATATACGATAAATATACAATGAAAATTGCTGTACATAGAGCATTGCCTTACCACTGTATCTTTAGGATGGATTCTCAGGTATGGCAAATTGTGGTTCAAGCCCTGTGAATATTCCATGCATATTTTTAAAGTGCTTTATAGGAAGACTGTACCAAATTATGCTACCATCAGCTATGGATGAGATCTCATCCCTCACTACATAGTGGCAAGCATGAATCTTAACAATAAAAACAAAACAGAAAACTTTCTTATCAAATTTAATGGGCAGAAATTTGAAATCTTGTCTTTACTTGTTCTTTATTAGTAAAGTTGAATATGTTTACAGATCTATATTACTTATTGTATTTCTTCTTTTAATGTTCCAGGTTTTACTTCCATAGTTTGCTATTTCTTTACCTAAGGCACAACTATGGTAAAGTTTAATCTTCAAAATTCTTTGTAATATTTCTTAGGGGAAAAAAAAAAGTGGATTTGAAAGGAAAAACATTTTAAAGCAAAGGATACAATTACCAAGTTATTTCAATGTTTTCATTGTTGAAATTAAAAAAAATATTGTGGCATTATGTGGTATTCGCAGAGCTATGAAATGATGACTTTTTTCCTTAAGGAAAATAATATGATAATAAATATCAATGACTTTTTCAAATACATTGAAAGACATTGTACAATAATAAATATACCATTTTTCACTACCTGTACTAAAATTTTATTTTCAATAAACTAATGTTTCGGTAACAAGAAGTAGTTCCAGGTAATGTTTCATTTTTATAATTTTTTTTTTAAAAAAAACCCTCAAACCTGACAAGGTTTCTTCAACTTCTTCAATAATCAGAATATCCTATACAGATTATTTATAAAATCATGATATTACTATGTGATTTGTTGCCACCTAACAGCTTTGAGACTTGTCCTTGAAATTACACCTCCTTGTCTGGGTAACTGCCAATAGGTTATTGGTGATATCTGGCTTGTCAGTATGAGCCCATTCTACAAGGCACTGCACAGTCACAAACTTTTGTATTGCATATACAATAGTCCTCCATTATCTGTGATTTCATTTTCCACAGTTTCAATTGCCCAAAGTCAACTGTGGGCCAAAAATATTAAGAGGAAAAATCCCAGAAAGAAGTTTAAATTGCACACTGTGTACTCAATACAGAGATGAAATCTCACACAGTCCATCCTGCCCTGGGATCTGAACCATCCTTTGGTCCAGCACATCCAGGCTGTATATGCTTTCCCCACCCGCCAGTCACTAAGTAGCCATCTAGGCTACCAGATTGATTGTCATAGCAGCATAGTGCTTATGTTCAAGTAACCCTTATTTTGCTTAATAAAGCACAAGAGTAGTAGTGCTGGCAATTCAGATATGCCAAAAAGAAGCTGTCAAGTGAAAAGGTGAAAGTTCTTGACTTAATAAGAAAAAAAAAATCATATGCTGAGGTTGCTAAGACCTAAATTAAGAAAGAATCTTCTATCTGAGGAACTGTGAAGAAGGGTAAAGAAATTTGTGCATAGTGTGTATAGGGTTTGGTACCAACTGTAGTTTTAGGCATCCACTGGGGGTCTTGGAACATACCTCACCAGAATAAGGTGGGACTACTGTAGTATGTTTTCCCTCAATTAAACTTTTTCCTGTAAAATAAAACATTTGTTAAAATAAGCAATATTAATACAGTCATGCAACACATAACAATGTTTAGGTGAATGACGGACCACATATAAAACAGTGGTCAGAGCAGTAGGCTATACCATACAGCCTACACATGTAGCGGGCTATATCATCTGGGTTTGGTCCATGATGTTCACACAATGATGAAACCACCTAACAAAGCATTTCTCAGAACATATTCTCGTTGTTAAGCAACACATGACTACACATTGCTAAATTTTAACATTTCCATAGTCTATTAAAAGAAAGATACAATTTTAGAAAAAGATTTAAATAAACACAACTTCTAGATACTATAACTCTGTCAATAAACTTTACCGTAATCTTTTTTATTTAATATTACTTTGTTCAGAAAATAAACTTCTTTCTTTCATTTGTAATGCTTCTGGTGATGAATTTTATTTCATTTCATTTGGATTGTACTCAGTTTCTTCAAAGTAGCATTAACAGTTTTAACTTAGCTTGAACCTTGCGATATGAGATCATGCCTTGCTTTACTGCTGTTATCCAGACCTCACTGCTTTGTCTCTCTTTACTGTCTTGTACGGGGAAAAATTGCTTTCTTGTCAATTATTTTTTTCTCTACTTTTCACTGCAAGATTAAAAATAACAAATACATTATTGGCAACTTAAAAATGATTTCTATAAAACTGTATTCTCCAATATTTTTTGTTATTCCTCTGTTAGTTTGTATATCAGAATGTATAGGCTGTGATTAAAAATGTACAAAAAGAAATCCTGCTACTCATTTTCCAAGCCTAGTGTAAACTTTCAAACACACTATCCCATTGGGTATTGGGGAATACAAACCTAAACTTGGTAAGGAATCCCAGATTTGTGCATTTAAAACAAAGAATTTAGGAAAAATATTTAGTTAATTCACAGTCTAACTTCTTCTTAGTGATATTTGTCTCATTCCTTTCCTATTTCTTGAGATGGTGTCTGAGTTCGTGGAAAAGCTTTTGTGTCCTGCTTGCAAGGAGGAAAAAGATTTGCAAGCTATTCTTTTACCCTTTTTGGTCTATGACATGACTAAGGCAGACTCATCTTTTCAGGTCACTAGCCCCCACTGAATTGTTGCTGGTACTGCTTTTGGGGGAGTGGAGTGGGAAAGGATGGGCACAGTGCCATGGCTGAAATTCGAGTTGGTGAATTTCAAGGAAATGTCCAGCTCCACTTTCACTGGTCTATCTCAGATCTTATTGATGGTGCAGAATCTCCGGTCAGTTTCCTTTCAACTGCTCCTTGCCTCACAGCAGTGGTCCTGGTGAAGGTCCATTGCCTCTCAATTCAATCTTCCTGTGCCTTCTAGATCCATATGGGAACTTGCAGATCTTGTCCACGCTGTCACCTACCCTGCCTTAGTGCACCGAACTACTCTTTCCTCTCTTTCGAGGTTACCTCAATGGCAGTGTGAACCACCTGGACAGGCTCTTCTCAGTTGCTCTTTCTGATTAAATACAGGCCTGCAATTTCAAAACAACACCCAGGTGACATGGTGTGGCTATCATAGTGCTAACCTGAGGTAGCTTTTCCCAGAAGCCTATACTTTTCCTGAGCTACACCCTGAAACATCAAATGCTGAGAATTTTCGCAAACCCATCTAAGTGTTTCAGACCCCACTCCCCTTCCCTCTTGCCTTTTGCATTTTCCTAAGGGGAAAGCCAGAGCACTTGATCTGAATTCTTGCCCGCCTTTTCTTGGATTCTCTCAGAACCACTATCAGTACTCCACATTCTGTTTTCTTGAGGTTGAAGTCATGCCTTCTCTACGTGGAGTTGTTTTTCTTCTGTACACTGAAGCATATTTCATACCTCCAAGGCTTCACTTGGATACGTAAATAGGTCTTGGTATTTAGAAACCTTCTTTCTGAGGCTCCAATCCTGATTCACAACACTTTTGTCTCACTACACACTAATTAAAAAAAAAAAAAAAACTTTCTTGAACAATGATTTTTTCCCCTTTGTTTTGCTGCTTTAATAACCCAAATCTTGCCTGAAGGAATGGATGCTTCTGGCTGAACTGGGGGATGGGGGTGTCAATTAATTTATTTCAGAAAGTCCTATGTTTGTTAGAGTTGAAAATGATGATGGTGATAAATTACTTTTATTCTTCAGTTATTTCTAACTTCACTTCTTAGAGGAAGCATTCCTTTTCTCCAGAAGCTACTTTTAAAACAAAGTGTTTTTAGTAATTTATCTTCAGCTACACAATAGCTTCTATGTAGTACTATCCTCAAGATTTCAATAAAAATCTTCTGTTTTTCTAAATTTCAATTCAATCCAACAAGCATCAATTAACACTTTTTTAACTAGCCTCTAATTCTGTATAATTTCGTGTAGGGAAGAGAGATTTCAAAAGGAAAAGGCAAGATTCTAACTCTTCAAATGCAAGTAACAAAATGCATACGTGAAATCACCAGAATACAATGGAAGACTAGGAATAACTGCATCAACATGTCTGTATTACGTGTAATGGGTACTTAAAAGATCTTTATTGTTCTATATCATCCATCGTTCTATATCATCCTTTTGGTATAGACAAAAGGGTGTACACTATCTGAGCAACTTGAAAATAACATGTGTCAGGGGAGATATTAAGGAGGAGGCAAAGGGGCCAGAGGTCACATTTGGGGCAGAATGTGGACATGTGGAAAGGGGGAAAGCATCTCTTCTAGGCAAGAAGTAAACAACACAGGGAACGACTTGGGACATATGGGCTATGGGATCAGGGGACAATTTTGTCATGTTAAGCTTTAAACTGACTAAACAACGCAAGTCATTCTAGAAAAGTATTTTTTTTTCAGGCATTTGTTCTTGGCATTGCCTCTCTTATTCTCCCCACCCCCGTATTTTTCATAAAGCAAATGCTTTGTCATATTCTTCCGCTTCATGGGATTGATGTTGGCTCCTTCCACTGCCTCTGTTTGCTTGGTCACAGCTGTCCATGAGAGTTTTTCTTCTCCCAAATGGTCTGACTAAGCGAGGCTCACAGCAAATAACAGGCAGCCCAAGAGTCACCCCCAATGGGACTGCAAGTATTTGACTTTGGAATCAAGCCATTCTTGCTACTAGCGAGGCTTACAAGAGTTTGTTTTTCTTCTAATGTTGCAGCTAAATTTCCACTGAAATAATAATAGCTCAAAAAATGCTACTTTTTCATCTTTTCTTATTCCTTTACCAAATATATTGGGAAAACAAGAATATATGTACATTGCTAAAACTCTCTCCCAAGCCACAACTCTGCGGAAACTGCCTCCTCCAGAGTCCCAGTAACCTAAAGAGCACTATGCCAATGATGTTTATTTCAATTTAATTCTCCTTGACCTCCCTACTGCCTTTGACACTTTAAGCCCTCTTGAAATGCTTTTTTCTTGGTTTCTAGAATGCAATATTCTTCTGATTTGTCTTCTCCCTCTCCAAGCTGTTCTTTTTCGGCCATGTCTTACTCCCTAAATACAGAGATTTTCTAAGATTCTGGTGTTATCTCTGATTTTTCTCTCCCTGAAGTCTCTCCCTAGGTTATCTCATGTACCTTGATTATTATTTCTATGAAGACAACCTGCAAACATATGTGTGTATGTATATATGTGTGTGTGTATGTGTGTTTGTATGTGTATCTACTGCTGACTTCTCCACTGGACTATGATCCAGAATTTGCAACAGTTTGCTGAGCAATGTCATTTAGGTGCTCCCACCAATCGCTTCAATTTCAATGTGTCCAAAGCCGAAGTCCCCAACACCTTTCTGGGATCTCCTCCTCTTCACTTCCCCGCGCCCGTGTCTGCTAGTGAAAACCTGAGCTGGCTCGTGCCCGCTTATGAGGAGGGCTCTTCACGTGCATGTCTTCCCAACCTTAAAGTTGCAATACTGTAATATCACCCCTATACTGTAATAATGAATTACAGAAACTACTGTGCTCTTTCTTTTAATTCTACCAAACAGAACATAAAAACAACCTCATACAAAATATTTAGATAGGAGGTAGAATTTCAAAAAAAATATATTAAAGGTTAACACTCACCTAATGCTGCATCAACACTAGGCTAATAGGAATGCTCCACGATTTTGGATCTTCTAACCGAATCAACAATAACTTTTCCATTTCAATAATCAATCCACTACGCTGCTTAGTAATAATTGATGCTTTCATTGGAGCACTGACTTTCACATACGTGTCCCATTATTCTCACTTCATAATCGTTCCTATAGCTGAGGGGCTGAAGCCTAACGCTTTCCCAATGAATGACGGCATGGGGCCTTTCTCCCAACGCTATTTCTACTTCCCTTTCCACGGTAATCATCTTTCTCTTCGCTGCTGGCTCACCTGGACTTGCAGTTGACTTTCACTTTGAAAGCAGGGTCATAAGGATAAACACGGACTCACAAAATCCAATAACAACGTTAAAACAAAAGTGATACTGTGCGTAAGCGACCTGTAAACAATGAGAGTAGCGACTGGTGTAAAAATGTGCAACGATCCGCTCACACACTGCGGCTTTGTTTACATGCGCGGAGGAAACCAGCTCCTGAATTATTAATTTAATTATTTAATTATAAGATATTTTTATGGGGAGCCGGGGAAGCCCATTTGTAAGTATGGAACGCCGCGAGTCCAGTTGCCATAACCTAGGGGACTGCCTGTATTTACACCACAGATAATGGTCAATTGACGTTACAAATCAGAGTTTCTTTTTCTTTTCTTTTCTTCTTTTCCTTTTATCTGTAAGGTGATTGTTGAACATTTTTTAGAACATCAGTGATTATTGTCGTAGGACTCTCCCAGTCACCCGAGTTTGAAACTTGGGAGTCATTTTGAACAATTTTCTTTTCTTCACCCCATTCAATGTCAAGTCCTCTAATTTTTAGGTGAGTTCAAACCTTACCATCTCCATTGCTCCTGGTCTAACTGCGGCCAGACCATTCTCCCGGTGTCCTTCCCTTATCTCTAATCACCTGGGAAAATCTGCTAAATTCATCTTCCTAAAGACTGGCTCTGACTGCAGTCAAATGTTTTCAGCAATTCTTGCTTACCAAAGTTAAGAGTCATTAATTTTCAGTAACTATCAGCCATAATCTGGCTGTCTTCCCCACCCTAGCCTGTCTCTCGTGTTCCTGTCGCATACCTCTGAGTCCTGAGCTCCTAGCTTGTGCCTGTGATGGCAGAAAATGTCGGGCGCCAAGACACGGCTGCTTGCCACCTCCCCGTGGTTCCGCATCTCCAGGGACAGTGCTGTGGGAGGCCGGTTAGAGGCACGCTGCTGGGGCCGGCCTGGGGCTCACAGGCGCCCTGACACCCCTCGAGCCGGAATGCCCCAGGCCCACTTGGCGGCCTGTTTCCGGCCACGCTGCTTGCGTGATCCTGATTGGGTAACTTTTGAATCCCACTGGTTTTGGTTGGATATTAAAGCTTGTTGCTGATTGGATGTTAAAGCCTGTTGCTGATTGGATGTTAAAGCTTGTAGTTGATTGGACACTTCTTGAGCCCTACCAAGGGTATAAAAGCAGGGGCAGAAGGGCAGGGAGGGGGAGAACGTGGCGAGAACGTCGGAAGACAGGAGGAGTGCTGTATGTGCTGAGTCTGCTGTAGAAGAATAAAGGCTGTTCTCTGATGCCACTCGGTTCTTTCCCTGGTCAAAGGAGTAAGAGCTGTAAGGCTACACCTGCATCGTGAAAACTACTTAGCAAAATCTGGAGAATGAAACTGTCTAATTGATTGAATAGAGACCTTTTTGATTCTGCGTCAGTTTTTTCCTCCTGATTCCCTCTTTGCCATTTCTGCACACCTAAATCTTACCGGTATGTCAAGGTTCAGACCAGTGCTAATTTCTTCAGTCAAAATGATCTTTTTTTTTCTGTCATCTGAGGCCCCATCCCAGAGCATTTTGCTTTGGCAGTCACATTTCTCATTCTCTGCCTTGTATTAATATTTCTAGTGACTATGTTGTATTCTGTTTAAAACAAATGAACTGAACCATGATGAGTTTCTTCTTGGGTCTAATGGTCATACAATCAAAATGTGTTGAATGATTTGATATGAATGAGGACACCTGGGATTTATACTACACATTTCCTATCAAATTATCTAGTACTTTCTCGTTTTTTCACATGTTATAATGCAGGAAAAAAATCAGATTATCTCATTTGTGATATTACTCATTGAGAAATTGAGGACTGCTGCTAAGATGAGGTTTATCCCTAGAAGTTCAGATTTTCTACCTCTTCAACATTATTTTTCATGGATGTTCTTGCTATTCCCATTCCAGGCAGAATGTACATGGTTGGATGCTTGGTTAAAAGCCACTTTCCCTGTACATTAAAGGAAAGATATTAAGGGATATTACACTGGACCATAAGCTCCATGAGGACAGAGATCGTCTGTCGTATTATCCAAAATAAACCCACTATGCATCTTGGCTCCACATTATTTCACCATACCACCTGTGTTTTTGTCAACACTATAGACAGAAGGATGAACATTGTTCCTTGTATTATTTTGCAAAAGTTTACAGCAGTTCCCCTCTATCCACAGGGGACACATTCCAAGAATCTCAGGGGATCCCTGAGACTGCAGATAGCCAATCTTATGTATACTATGTTTAAGATAAAGTTTGAGTTATAAATAAGGCACAGTAATAGGTTAACAGTGATAACTAAGAATAAAATAGAACACTTATAACATTACACTGTAATAAAATTCATGTGAATGTGATCTCCCCAGCTCTCTCTTTCAAAATATCTTATTTTATTATACTCATTTATTTTCGGACCATGGCTGACCACAGGTAACTAAAATTATGGAAAGCAAAACTGTGGATAAGAAAGGATTACTGTATTCTCCAAAGTTTTTTTTTTCTCCCCAAGTTACAAAATCACTGTGTGGTAAATTAAGGACTTTTCCCCCAAGGACTTTATTGGTTTATTTATTTACAGAGTTTGACTATAGCTTGGCAGATAGCATCAGCAGCTGAGCACAGAGAAAGAGTAATCGGGCACTGTTTTAAAATTTACTGATGACCTCTTACAGGAGTAATACTTTAACACGGCAGTTTGAGTAACATCCTTAAATATTTCTTACACTTGTTTATCTGTTACATGGCGGCTGACACCCTTAAGTGTGTAGGGTTATAGTTAATGATTATCGAATATATTTATCTTGTCCTAAATATATTTACCTAGTTCTAATTCTGGAGAGTTTTTGTTCCTGTTTTGCTTGTTTGTTTCTTAACATTAGACTGTGGGGTTTCCCCTTTGTTTTACTTTCTCACCTGGAAATGGCTCCACTGGCAAAAACTACATATCTGTTCAAAATGTATGTTCATTGACTGGTTGACAATATAAATTGTTAAACCGTATGAGTAGATACTGCAATCTAAAGAATATCACCATAGGCCAAGATCCAAAATGAGAAAAAGACATTTCAGAATCCCATGAAGGTAATAGATAACATGTCAGGACTTAAACAGAATTGGTGAACCAGCTATTAATATTCTCTCTGTATATACTAGCACATACTATCTTGCTTCCCCATATCCTTTCCCAAAACAGCATATGTTTTTATTAAATATTAGCATTTTGTTTGCAGTGATTGCTTTAATTTTTCTTATACCACATTCTTCATAGCAAAACTTATGATGAAATCCCTGGGTCTACTAAATATAACTTTCTCATGTTAGGTTTTAATGTGCTCCATTGCCTCTTTTCTAACTAACAATTATTGGATTTGGGCTTATGGAAACCTCTTTTAAAGTGTAGCTTTCACAAACATTTTTTTTTTTTTTGGTATTGTGTTAAAATGAAATAGTAAGACCCATTAACACATCCGACAATCTATTTCAAAATATCACGATTCTGAAAGATGAATGTAAAAAAAAGCATTATCTTGGCCTCATTCCTTGCATTTCTGTCTTTGTGTAATGTTTTCTCAGGTTAGTGTGCTTGTTAGACTGTTGTTTAAACCAGTCAATTCAAATTAGTTTGTAATTTCCTTGTAATAAAAGTTTGCTCTTACCCACCTAATCTGTAGTTGAGTATGATTCAGGCTGTTGTTTTGTGTTTCTATTTAGGTCAGAGGAGTCAGAAGAGTGGTAAAAATAATCTACAGTCATCTACTTCAAACTGGGTTTTAAATGATTGCTTTTTTAAACATCAGTTTAACATAAAGTTTGTAAAACATTGGCTATCATCTTTGAAAAAGCTAAATCCCGCATTTATTTTAATAAATTTCTTGGAAAATAGTAAATAATTAAAACTTCTAACACATATTATAATAGATATTTTTAAAATACTGTAGAAATTTATCTCAATGGCTAATGACCAAACACTAGCTAATGTTCATAGTAATACAAGAGAAGCATGTAAATTTATAAATGATATAAATTGTATTTTCATTTCAGTGAAAATGATTTATAAATTAAATAACCCCCAAACTCCTGGGCTTAAGCCATCCTCTGGTCTCAGCCTCCCAAGTAGCTGGGACTACAGACACACCCCAGAACTCAGCTAATTTTTAAAATATTTTGGTAGACTGAGTCTCATTATGTTGCCCAGGTTGGTCTCCAACTCCTGGCCTCAAGGAATCCTTCTGCCTTGGCCTCCCAAAGTGCTGGGATTACAGGCTATGAACCACAGTGCCTGGCCCAGATTCTTAACATAAATTAATACTAACATTCACAACAACCCTGAATGCATATATTTTCTTATTTTTCAAGTGAGGAAATCAAAGTTAAGAAAGTTTATGTAACTTGCTCAATGCTTCACATTGGAAACAATTACAGAGTTGAAATATAAAACCATTCTCTCCAGTTTTGGTGCTCGTTCTCTTTGAATATTTTTCTCCCTACCATCAATCCCCATACACTTGGCTCTAACAGTTTGGAAAATATAAACTTTCCAATGGATTCTATGTGATTCCTAATTGCCTTAATTAATTCATAACATTTTTTATAAATAAGTTTTTTCTTAAAGATATTTGTAAATGGAACCCTAAACACTGATCTTTATGAATTTTATTTGAATCTCCCATATTACATCCAAGTATACCTTGACCTCTGACCTACTCCTCAACTCCCATAGTCAGCATTAATAACCTTCTTCTCAGTTGGCCTGTTATCTATACTTCCATCTAAGCTCAGAGACAAATACTCCTCAAACTCCTCTACCCTAGCAGGAAGCTTTTCTCGCTCATTTCTTACTTTCAGCATCTCTCACAGTGTTTGGCACTAAAGAATAGATATTTTATTGTTAATTTTTCCTCTACATAGACCAAGAAGAGCTCCCTGAATGTTAGGCCCACATCTAACTCTTATTTTTTTTTGAGACAGAGTCTCACTTTGTTGCCCAGCCTAGAGTGAGTGCCATAGCGTCAGCCTAGCTCACAGCAACCTCAAACTCCTGGGCTCAAGCAATCCTTCTGCCTCAGCCTCCCAAGTAGCTGGGACTACAGGCATCTGCCACCATGCCCGGCTAATTTTTTCTATGTATATTAGTTGGCTAATTAATTTCTTTCTATTTATAGTAGAGACTGAGTCTCGCTCTTGCTCAGGCTGGTTTCGAACTCCTGACCTCCAGTAATCTGTCAGCCTCGGCCTCCCAGAGTGCTAGGATTATAGGAGTGAGCCACCGCGCCTGGCCCTAACTCTTCTAATGTGTCTGCATCAGGGCCTAGAGGGGAAGGATCAAAGCCCAGAGCCCATATTCCACGTGCCAAAATGTGAGGAAGGGATGAGTTAATCATTCAATCAAATGATCAACTTCTTGAGCAGAAAAAGGCAAAGCGGAATAGCAACCCCTCAAAAGAGAATAAGAACAAAAAACAAAGGGTATTGCCACCAGCTGGTCCCTTATGGGATTATGAACAATAGTAATATAAACCCCAATAGCATCACTAATAATAATAACAATAGCAGCTATCACTAAATATGCCATTATATCCCAAAAACTTTACCAGGTCCTTTGTATATAAATATTATCTCATTTAATTCTTAGAAAATACAGGTAATATTATTCCCATTTTAGAGGTATGGAACATGAAACTCTGAGAAGACACTGCTATAAAGTGCAAAGCCACAATGTGAACACAGTTTTCGCATGCTTTTCCAACAGCTTCAAATCTGGAAGTTATCCAGTTAAATAAGAGGTCCCTGTGTCTTATAAAATGCCACTGATTCTTTCACATAATTTGTGTAATTATAGATTTATAGCAGTGCAATGAGTTTTTATAAACTATTTATATACTTAAAATATACTCTACACCAAACAAAAGCACATTGTTATGTTCATGAAATTATTAAGTGTACATCCCAGATTTGGAAGCCAAATAAGGTAAGCACTGGCCACACTGTTATTGTTAGGTTTGTTTATGGAGGGGTG